ATAATTTTCAACCATCATATATAAGTATAAGGTAGGTAAATGTTTAATTTTGTAGCAAATAAATGTAAAAATTTTCGGTTCCCAATGGATCTCACAAAGTACTGGAGCCTGAAATGATCCATTTGAATGATCGATCTGAATGTACCAGTACGCGTGACGAAATGTACTAGAATGATTCGGTCGCTATAAATGAATGATTTACACATGTCCAGAGGACAGAGACAAAAACACAAAGTTGTGTAATGTATTTAATATATTAAGAAAAGAATAGCAAACAAGCTTTAGCAATAATTAGCAACACTTCGAAAAATCTATTTAAAAAAAACTAACCTCATTACACCATACTGAAATCGCCTAAATATTTACTCTAATGTCAACGGTCAAAATGGCGTTGATAAAGTATCGCCCTTTTGACACTTTCTTATTTGATTGACCGATGAAGTGCAATCGTATCACAAAGCCATCCTTGCAAACAAGGCTGTTGTTTTTAAGTTATAACAAAGTGACCATATTAACCGGATGACCATATTACCCTCCATCATCATGTTATATAACGGTCCGTCCGCGTATTGTAAAATTTTACGGTGAGTTTAAGATGTTAAAAATTGCTTAATATTATATACTTTTTAACATTAATAATAATAGGATATCCGCAAAATAACACCCTGATTCTATTAATTATTTACGGTGAGTGGTAACTGGAGCAACCATTGCTCCACAACTTCCCCATGCCTACATCAACTTATAATAATACATTTTTAAAGACACACGTCCATGACATTGCAATTACAATGCGCCCTTCTCGAAATTCACAGTAACGTTATTGGACGGAACTCGATTATTTTTTATTGAAGCTCACTTCAAACGAAATTCTGTGATTTTAAAGCATCACAAAGGAAACTCTCAAAAGCTTTGAGTTCGTAAAAGTGGTTGTAAATTCATTTCTAATTCGTAAATAATACTAAAAATAATTATCCTTTTTAATCCTTGTCAGATCAAGATTTTGAATATTATTTTTTTTTATGTATTTGAATATCCTAAATAATTAGCTTACAGCGCTGAAATTTTTGGGAAAACTTCGAAAAGAAAGCGAAAAGAAAACCTTAAACAGTTTTCTTTGTAAATAACTGTAAAATATATCTACCCGTTGAAATTTTTAATGTAAACACAAAAGTAAAATAATTCTATTCTTTTTTTCCGACTTTGAAATTAACTATAAGAAATATAACAGTATTTAATTTTTTATAGCGTCTGATCTGATAGTACTATTGTGATAAATTCATCATCACTTCCTTTTTTCTTCCTTTATCAGGTCGTAAAAGTTCATAACTGGACACCATACGAGCTATTGATAGACTGAGAAGAGAAGCAAAATCTAAGACGCGTCAATTCGCGTGTCAGAAATGGTGTCGTTCTATGGGTTCTATGGGGCAAGCATGGGCCTCTCCTATAGTGGGAAGTCTTGCAAAGTAAAGTAAATTACAATCTACATACGTTCCACTGCTGGGTACAGGCTTTTAAGAGGGTATTAGTGCAAAAAAATTCTGCCGCACTGTCCAGCTTCACATGTTGGCGAACATCACATGATGTTTTCGCTCCATCGCCAAGCACGAGATAAATCAGCACCTAAAATTTCAAATAACAATTTCACTGGTGAAGGCTGAGTTAGACTCCGGGTTGTTCGCGTATGAAATTTCATAGAAAGCGCTAAGTCTCTGACTCTGAGCTACCATGGCTGCATAGGAGTGTCGATCGCAATAACAAATATCTCGCCATCTTTGAAGCAAACTAGCAATCGTGCAGGAAGGCTTTAATTAAAAATTATTTATATTAAGATGAGTAAGTATGAGGCTCAAAGTCACTCAGCGGACAATGTTCAGAGTTTCTCTGCACGACAGATTTGTAACGAGGATATCCACAGTAGAACCAGAGTAATAGCATAGCTCAACGGATTAGTTAGCTGAAGTGGCAATGGGCTATTCATATCGTTCCTTCATATAGTTAGATGGACGACTGGTAAGAGATGCTAAAAGTCGATGGATGCAGGTGGTTCAGCATCGTGCTTTGTGGCATTCCTTGGAAGAGGCCTATGCCCAGCTGTGGACTTGTAATGGGCAGTTATGATGATGATGCTAAATATATTTATGTTTACTTTTAACATTGCCTTTGGTTTAAATGAATTACATATAAAATGAAATGCTTGTAGGTATTTAGGATTTACGAATAAAAATTAGTGCGGCCAAGCATTTCTATAGGACTAATTATTATGATATTTTGAAACTTCGACGTTTTTCATATACATGTACTTCCATCTGAATTGTGATTCTTAATTGAAGATAGATGTAGATGTCTATGGGCAACAACAGTATCATCAGGTGGACTGTGTGTTGATTTGTCACTTTGATAAAAAGAGATATTAGAAATAGGTATAAAAACAATAAAATTTAATTATTTCGAATTTTATTAATATTTTTCCGAAATTACTATGGTCTTTACAATCACCAGACTTTAAAAGTCTACTGCTAGACGTGGACAACCTTTCAAAACCAATCCATTTAATATTAAAAGTTAATAAAATACTAATAAAAATTCTATATCATTAGAATAGCATCTTCATTTTCATTATTATTTTCCTTCTCGAGATAATAAATAATCTAATTAAAGCCTCTTTCCTACTTCAAAGAAGTCATTAAAGTTTAAATTTATTAAGTAAATTTTTCAGCGAACTGATTACGAACATTCCTCTTACTTCAGAAACTTTCCGACTCACCGTCCTAATAAAATAGACGTACCTACTTTTTATTACATTAATATTTTATTGAGATCTCATTATCATTTTACATTACTTGTATGTTAAAATATATAGCACCACTGCAGGGGCCAAATACCGCTCGTTGTGAATTTCACGGTACGCGGCAACGCGGCTTTAATCCGTGCGCACCAATGAAATTGTTTATTGCAAATTGTCAGAGGAATAAAATATTTTAAAGACTTGTGAAGTGCACCAACTTGGTTGAGTTTCTACTATCGTTAACATTCACGTTAACGAAACTGTCCAAATGAATGAAATAAATGTTTATGTCATTCCCATACATTTAAGGCCAGCGCCGCAACTCATCGCTAAACCACTGCGCCACGGAGTGTGAGAACTGAAGCAGGAGATGGCCAACTGCATCTTCCTGATAACATATATTTACATATACGATATGATACATATATAACAAAAACCCTGTGGTTCCCGTTAACAGCGTTATCAGAATCGGTATCCAAGCATGTAGAAATATTTTTTTTTCAAATATAAACACATTTGAATTGTATTTATTAAAATTAATTTCAATAAAAAAAAATAATTTGCAAATTGTATGTGGTTTTATTATCTCTGCATTGGCCGAGGAGTAAGAGGATTGTCAAAGACCCCGGATTACCGATACTCGTGTGAGTTAGAGGAAATAAAACCACATACAATTTGCAAATTAATTTTTTTTTTCATTAAATTATTTTTTTAAATGTGTTTTTTTGAAAAAAATACATTATTTCTATACGCTTGGATACTGATTCTGATAACATACTTAACGGGAAACCGTAACGTAATTAACGCACACCCTCAGACACCCCAATTAGTATATTATGTTATAATCATAATACATACACTGAATTTTAGTTAAACATTTTTATGCACTGATTATTTGTCAAATTAGTACTAATTCCGGAAGAATGATGTGGTCACAGTACAAATCCACGAACGCAAAGACTTTAACGTGCTTGAAATAAAGTTCATTTTTCTTTATTTTTATTGAATGACAGAATTAGTAGTATTACAAATAAAACTGCACTCTTAAAAGTCTTATTGCCTTAAGTTACGGTCCATTTCAGTTTGTTTTGACTGTACAGATTTAGTGTGGCTGTAATTTACATAGTTTTAATTATTTTTGGTATAAAAAATTACCTATATTAAAAATGATTTCTTTGAAAACTACTTTCTCAAAGTGCGCTAATTATGTTACATGTTGTATATAATAAAAAGTATAATAAATTAAAATACTTGTTGAGGTATTTATGCGTGAACATATCAACATAAAAAATATTTATAAAATCACTAGTAATATTGTCGGCAATATTCTTGAAATCGGTATCTTACTTTTTTTTCTTCGAACTATGAGTTTTATTTTTTTAATTGTGGACTGTGTTGTAGAATACAGAGCTCAGATATATTTATTTTAAATTATAGAACGAATCATTATCATCACCATTCATCCATTCATCATCCTACACAAGTCCACGGCCGACCATAGACCTCCCCCAAGAAATGTCAAATGGAACGAATGTATGTACCTACTAAGGTACTTTGTACGAAAATAATAATTATTTCGACTTGTCGAGGGCGCTGATTTCGAGCGATGAAGGTGAGACTTGAAGCACATGAGTAAACAAACTGTGCTTGAAGGAATCGGAACAAGGGCTACTTTCGAGTTGCAGAGGTTTTCAACTTATTAAAGTTAGACTGCTGAGCTTCAACAATAATAAAAATATGCGGTTGTCAACCCGCCTGCAAAGCCTGTTCTTTTAATAAACTGAAAGCAATGAATCGCTGTATTGCCATAATTTAGGGTGGAGTCACTGCACCTGGTAAGATATGCAGGAAATCGATGATTGCAGTTAACCCAAGACCGTGTTTCGTAGCATTACTTGGAGAATGCCTCTGTTTAGCAGTGGCCTTGAGAAGGAATGTAATGATGACGATTATGATGATTATAATGATGATGAGGGAAATAAATATTTATAACTAAAACAATATTAGGTACCTAATTTTTCATTTTGTTGTAATGTTATTAGATTTTTTTAAATATAATCGACTGAATATTATTGTACTGCATATGACCCGAGTATAAAAAAATTAAGTATTAAGAGTGAGTGACAGACAAAAGACAATATTTACGTTAAGTGTGATATCAAGTTTAAAAAATAAAATGATCTGAGTTTGAAAACTGGAAGCAATCAGAATGTGGAATTCAAACGCCATGGACAATAGACAGATGGAAAAGCGAGTGGTTATTGGAAGAGTCCGGCCGACATGGGCACGGAACATGCCAGAGGCGAGAGAAGATGACGATAAAAGTGACCAAGAAGTTGGAGTCATGCCGCACAGTGAGCCTCCGTCGCCTACAGACACCTGGGAACAGCAGAACAAACAAGAAGATAAATACGATGTATTTGGAAAGGTTTGTTTTATCTTTACCTTTAAATGAATAAGAAATAGAAAAAAAACACACATTTTAAATATCTAGGTACGTTTTATCTTTTTTAAACATAGATATAATATTTCATGAAGATGATGATATTCATTTAATATTCTTTTATTGAACAAAAATACTAGTGATGCTACCACCTATTTAAAATGTTCTGTGTTAAGAGTGTTTCAGGTGCCAAATAGCGGATTCGAACCTTCGACTTTAAATTTGCCATCGGTATCCCTTTAACAATAGGCTATATAATGGACAAGACAAGACAAATGATAAGGTTCATGTCACACCTATGCCGGTAGTTATTGGGAGCGCTACGCTCAAAGTCGTTGACAATAATCTTTACTAGAGATGGGCCGAATATTCGATTTATATTCGGTATTCAGCATATTCGGCAGCTTTACCGAATATTCAGCTAAATCGCCAAACATTCGTTTTCATAGTGTCCAATGTATTGAAATGTACGAATTGAGTAATGCGATGTCTTTTACTGTTGACTTGAGTATATTTTATTTATGGATTAAATCTCCTTTGATTTGATTTATGCATTTAAGGCACTCTGGAGTGCCTCAAATACATAAATCTATACATTTATGTTTTTGAGGCACTGTAGATTTATTTCAGATTATAGCAAATAGAAACTTGATAAAATGTTTTTGGAATCAAACGAAGTAACATTACATTACATTAGTACATTTCATTATTTTTACACTAATACCTACCTACCATTACCTACTATTAACTACCATTTTTACAATAGTACATCTCTAAACTAAGTTCAAATAGTAAATCTCCTGCCGCTCATTTTTATCGTAAAATTATCAATATTCACTAAGAATAAAAAAACGAAATACTTTTTTTATCACAAGAATAGTCAAAACATAAGCATGTGTGCCGGCAATTTGCTCAGTACTAGAAGATGCAATAACTATCAGGTGTGGCGGGGAGCGAGAGGCAGAGTCGCGCGCTAATCCCGCGCGCTTTACGGTAACAAGTTTCGTTATAAATTGGTTGGGTCCCGAGGTTATCCTGCCGAATAATGTACGGCCGAATATTCGGTTCGGTAAAAGTCTTACCGAATATTCGGCCGAATATTCATATTCGGTGAAATCCATATTCGGCCCATCCCTAATCTTTACCTAGGCCAAATTATCTGACTATGTAAGTTAAACTTCGACCGGTAGGTCAATTGACGGATCCAACTCTGCTGGGCAACGTTTGGGAGATTGCGACTCATCATATATTCTCCGAATATTCATATTCGGTGAAATCCATATTCGGCCCATCCCTAATCTTTACCTAGGGCAAATTATCTGACTATGTAAGTTAAACTTCGACCGGTAGGTCAATTAACGGATCCAACTCTGCTGGGCAACGTTTGGGAGATTGCGACTCATCATATATTCTTCAAAACTTTAAAACAAAAGTGTACAACCAGTGCGTGTTGCAAGTGATGTTAATGATCTAAGATGAAATCCTTCGCCGCTGGCAGTATGAGGAAGATTAGGTTAAGTCGCTCACCGTGCTATAGAGAGGTTTATTTCTCTACATGATAGAGTCCGTAACGATGATATCTGCAGTAGAACCAGAGTAACCGTCATAGCCTCATGGATCAGTAAACTGAAGTGGCAATGGAACGGCCATATAGCTCGAAGAATCGGTTCTTGCACTTCAACAAGCCTCGTATCGACATATGGATGGTAGTACAGCCCTCAATATCTACTGGATGGAGTAAAAAAGACCCGGTAATACACGTAGGAAATCTATAGATATAGATGCAGTTGCCTCAGGACCGTGCTTTGTAGCTTTACTTCGAGGACATCTACTTTCAGCAATGGATTTGGACTATTAATAATATTGTCCTCCAAGCCGAATTTCGGTGACGGAGGCCAGTCTGAACGGAGACTAGCCAACTGCTCAGGACAGGAATACAGTTCCCGAGTGTATGCGCAAGCACAGGTGCACTCTCTATTCCCTCACTCACACACGGCCGTAGAGAAATCAGGAGTAAAACTTCCCGACCCCGGGCTGCTACTGAAAATTCTTTAAGAGAAAATCCAAATTTTGACTCGACTCGGGATTTGAACCCGGGACCTCAGGATCAGTAACCGCTTTTACGACAACTATATAAAAAAGAGGAAGAGCTGTTATCAAAATGGTGATAATATTTAATTTAAGATAGTATCCTAAATTTTAACAACCTTTCCCTTTTACGAACTTATAGTTTTATATTATGTATTCAGGTGATGCTTCTCGGAGACAGCGGCGTTGGCAAGACATGCATGCTAGTGCGCTTCCGTGATGGCACATTCCTCTCCGGAAACTACATTTCGACCGTCGGCATCGACTTCCGGGTTAGCCTATACCTATAGGATGCGATATTACAGCGATGTCATTTCCTCTTCAACAATATTGTTTTCTTAAATATTAAATAAAATACAAATCTTTAAAAACATTGTAATAAATCATAGATTTATAAATGATACCTACATCACACGATAAACTCATTTTTTTTCAGTCTAGGTAGGTATCTAATATCTTTAAAAAAAATTGTTTGTTCATGTTTTGTGCACTGCCATGGTGTTCAACAGGTGAAGAGAACTTTGTCAACTTATTGCTAGCACTTGCGCGAAGGATATAGGCATAGAAGTACAATTAACAAAGAGTAGATGGCGTGCGTATCGTACGGACAAATTACTTTGAAAGTCATATCATTCAATTTCAATGAATGTATTATGTATTATGATTCCTAAAGTCAGGGGGTTTTCATGCTGGTCTACCTTTCCGGTGATCCTGTTATGGAATACGGGTACGCGACCCCGGCTCCCCGAGCTACTGTTATTCTCATACCTTTCCTGCCGAGATAACAGTATCCTTACACCTGCGCTCCTACCCCCAACCTTCTTTTTCCTTTTCCCAAAATGGTAGCTTCCTCTACCAACAATAGCATACCCAAAGAGGGTTGGTGTCAGGCAGGCGGCCGACTGTAAAACTTTTGCCAAATCCCATGCAGTAAACCTATGAATATTACGAGTTGTGGGATATATGACAGGGCTAGGGCGTACCCCGCAGGCGACGCGCAGGGGCAGCACCCGGCTCCTGTGGGAAGTGGGCAAGGGTTGTCGCACCTTACGGAGCGGGTGCGACGTAAGAGGCGAGCCCAGAGAGAGAAGAATGTCAGAGTGAGGTTTGCAAGCTGGAATGTAGGTACGATGACTGGAAGAGGAAGAGAGTTAGCAGATGTTTTGAAACGACGAAGAGTGAATGTTGCCTGTTTGCAGGAAACAAAATGGAAGGGCAATAAAGCAAGAGAGATTGGGGAAGGATACAAGTTTTATTATTGTGGAAGTGATGGGAAGCGAAATGGAGTAGGAGTTGTGTTAGATAGTGGAATGAAAGAACGAGTGACAGATGTGAAAAGAGTAAATGACAGAATGATAGTTGTTAAATTAATGATTGAAAACAAAGTAGTGAATGTTGTAAGTGTGTATGCTCCGCAAACAGGCTGTGAAGAGAGTGTGAAAGAGAAGTTTTGGGAGGAATTTGATTGTATGATGATGGGAATACCTGAGAGTGAGGATGTTTATATGGGAGGAGATTTTAATGGACATGTAGGGAGAGTGAATGACGGGTATGAAAGAGTACACGGTGGATGGGGGTACGGAGTGCGGAACCGTGAGGGGGAAGTTCTTCTGCAAGCAGCATGTGCTTTCGACCTGGCTGTAGTAAACACGTGGTTCCAAAAACGAGATCAGCATCTTGTTACTTATAAAAGTGGCCACCACGCGACACAGATCGACTATCTTCTGATAAGACGGAACCAAATCAAGAGTGTAAAAAACTGCAAAGTGCTTCCAGGTGAAGACTTAGTATCCCAGCACCGAATTCTGCTGGCTGACATCTGCTTAACTGTTCGCCTCAACAAACATAAGGATCGTCCCCCACCCAAAATAAAGTGGCATTTGTTGCATAAGGAGGAGTATGCAAGTGAATTTAGAGAGCTAGTTGTAAACAAGATGATAGAGATGGGTGATATGGAAGGAATGAGTGTGAATGAGTGCTGGAAGGAAATGGCTGATTGTATCCGAAGTGTGGCAAGGAAGGTGTTAGGAGAAACAAAAGGGAAGCGTATGATAGATAAGGATGGGTGGTGGTGGATTGAAAGTATTAGAGAAGTTTTGAGAGAAAAGAAAAACGCCTTTAAAGAATGGCAGAGCGTAGAAGACCAGAATGATTCCATAAAAGAAAGTAAGAGAGGGGCGTATAAAGAATGTAAGAAGAGAGCAAAGAAGGAAGTTGCTATTTGTAGGGCAGAGGCGCAAGATAAATTATATCGGTCCCTTGAAAGCCCCAAAGGTCAAAAACGACTTTTTCAAATTGCAAAAGCGAGAGAAAGGAATGGAAGAGATGTTTCACATGTAAAATGTATAAAAGATGATTCTGGAAGGATTTTGACTGACGATGAAAGTATAAAGAAGCGATGGAAGGAGTATTTTGAGAAATTGATGAATGAGGAGAATGAATGGAATGGTATGCTTGAAAACCCACCAGTGAATATGGGCTTAGTGAGAGAAATTAGTGTGGAAGAAGTAAAAATGGCTGTTAGGAATATGAAGAATGGGAAGGCGGTCGGCCCAGATGGAATACCAGTAGAAGTGTGGAAGTTGCTGAGTGCGGATGGATGGAAGTGGTTGAGTTTATTTTTCGGTAAATTGTTGCAGGAAGAACAAATACCTGAGGAATGGTGCAGTAGTATACTGGTCCCCATTTTTAAAAACAAAGGAGACGTTCAAAACTGCAGCAGTTACCGGGGAATAAAACTCATGTCACATACGATGAAAGTCTGGGAAAGAATAATAGAGAAAAGAATGAGAGAAGAGTGTGAGATAACACAAAACCAGTTCGGATTCATGCCCGGTCGAGGTACGACAGATGCCATTTTCGCATTACGCCAATTGTGCGAAAAGTACAAGCGCGTGCATAAAAATCTGCACATGGTTTTTGTCGACCTTGAAAAGGCGTACGATCGGGTTCCCCGTGAGGTTTTGTGGTGGGCGTTAAAGATGAAAGGTATGCCTGGGAAGTATGTGAGGTTAGTCCGTGCTATGTACAGAGCATCCCGTACATGTGTACGATCTGCCGCGGGAACTACGGGCAGTATCGATGTGGCGGTAGGGCTGCACCAAGGGTCGGCATTGAGCCCTTACCTCTTCCTACTGATTATGGACGCTTTGACGTCGGACCTGCAGGATGAGGCACCCTGGTGCATGCTCTTTGCCGATGACATCGTGCTTGTCGGGGAAGAAGGCATCGAGGTACAGAGCAGACTGACGGGGTGGCAACAGAGGCTGGAAAGTGTTGGCTTGAAGATCAGCAGATCCAAAACCGAATATCTGTGCTGTGATTTCGGCGGTCTTTCCAGTCCTGTACCCATGTCGTTGGATGGCGCTATACTGCCTACCTGCTCAGAATTCAAGTACCTCGGTTCCCTCATTCAAGGCGACGGCGGAATAGATAGAGCTGTGCAGCATAGGATTAACGCAGGGTGGATGAAATGGCGACAGGTCACAGCCACAACGTGCGATCCCCGAATGCCAATAAGGCTGAAGGGGAAAATTTACAAATCGATCATCCGACCTGTCGTCATGTATGGAAGTGAATGCTGGGCCGTCAAGAAGAAGGATGAAAATAGACTGCATGCGAATGAAATGAGAATGTTACGATGGATGTGTGGTGTGACAAGGATGGATAAGATAAGGAATGAGTATATAAGAGAAAGCCTGAAAGTAGCGCCAGTGGTAGAAAAGGTGAGAGGAAGCAGATTGGCATGGTTTGGGCATGTGATGCGGAGGGATGAAAGTCATGTCACAAAACGAGTGTTGAATATGAATGTGGAGGGACACACGGGCAGAGGAAGGCCGAATAAAAGATGGATCGATTGTGTGAAGAGCGATATGAGAATGAAAGGAGTAAGTATGGAAATGACGGCTGATAGAGAGGAATGGAACAAGAAGATTTACTGCGCCGACCCCAGATAATGGGAAATGGCTTAGAGAATGATGATGTATTATGATTCCTCTAAACAAATACCCTTCTAAATTTAAAACGATATTTCCACAAGTATTTCTTCTGTACCAGCTGTAGAATACAATAGTAGCTTTGACAGAACCTTTATTACGTTATACTTAATTTATTTAAAAAAAAAAAAACAGTAAAAGTATAGTATTATAAATCTAATATAAGAAGAAAAGATAAGAATAAGATATTTTAAAGCAAATTAAAAAGACACCAACTTTAAGTGGAAGGTATCCAACTAATAATGTTTTTTCTCAAATCATATTATAGAATAAAATAAGGCAATTAACTAATAATAACTAAGGGTTCGGTCGCAACGGGCCAGTCACGGATACACGCAGCCCGGTTGCCAGCACGCTATTGGTGTTGAAGTTTGGCGCGCTTTTTCCGTACCCGCCCCTAACCCGCAGCTGTGATGGAATTGACTCCATCACTGAGTGATTTATTGTTACAGGGGAACTTTTTGTTTGCAGTTTTTACCGGTTGATTTATTGCATCTGTCGCCGACTGCTATTAAGGTCGCCGTGATAGCTTAATATAAAATGCTGTTATGACTTATTTCTTTTTTTTTACCTTTGTTTTATTTTGTTTTCGTAAAATTTTTAAATGTGCTTAAAACGGACATTATAGTCTAAAACTTGAAATAAAGTTCAATAATTTGTCTTACAGTTGCTATACTGCCAAGCGATGTAAATAATTCTCTTTTGCTCTTCGCAATGGGCCTCTCTTGCAAAGGATGAGCCTAAATCGTAACGCTTGGCAAGAGAATGGGCGATCGTAGCACTAGACGTCTCGCACCATTAACTTCTCATTGCCGTTTTGTATATTTTAAATCTGGCGTACGAAATTATTACATACCTATACCGCCATCTATCGGAAGCAATGAGAACCTCCTAGGATTTCCCAGAATCTCTTGCGACACCCGTGAGACGAAATGAGCTCTAACGCTACTACGCTACTACTACGCTCTAATGCTACAATACAGCCAATAATATAAATTCTTAAATAAGTGAGTCTTCTTTATAAACTATAAACGAAAAATAATAATAAGCCTCAACATTATTGAAATAAATAAAGCTACTATTTACCAAGAGTTTAGATTAAAAATAACGCTTTTCAACGCAGCTAAAATAAAATAGGTACTTGGTCTTATTATTTTAGACGGAAAGGTTTTCTTAACATTTATTTTATACCATACGTACATATCTCCACATCTCTTGTTATTATTATTTAATTATAATGTAAGAACATCTAAGTATCTAATGATAAAGGTAATAAAAAACTTAAGTTGAAAAATTTAAAAACCCCCGACAAAAAAAGCTGATGATCTTCAAACGGTTGAACGAATTTTCATAAAATATTTCTAAGAACCACCGCTAGAAAACCTGCTTTTAAATAAAAAAAAACCGCACCCAAATCGGTTCGCCCGTTTAAAAAGGAGCTACGGTGCCATAGGCAGACACACATAGCGGTCAAACTTATAACACCCCTTTTTTTCGTCGGGGGTTAAAATAATGGTTTAGGTAATGACTATGTGCTTGTTAAGGCTTTAAGTAGGTACTTTTTTTAACATGGTAGAGCCACTCTGCAGCTATATTTTACTTAGGTACCTACATCGCGAATGAGTCGGCTCGACTTGGGAAGGACCACGCTCTCACAGAATACCGGCGTAAAGATCCTGTGTTTCGTATTGTGAGTGCAGAGAACCGGACTCTGGTTACCTAACCGGAGACATTTTTGTTTACAGATAACGAGGTATTCTATTTTAGTCCCCAGGGGAGACAACACTTCTAAATTTTTAATCGATAATACATAGATGTACTTAGGTGTCGTCTATAAGCTACAGCACCCACTTACCATCAGGTGGGCTCTGTGCACGTTTGTCACCCACATTCTATATCAAGATGTTGTTGACATGCGTCGCCACAATTTTCTAACATTTTTATAAATTTGTTTACAATAAGAATGATTTATTACGTTAGCGATTTTAGATAAAAATAATACAGTTAATGTATTGGCAAATTTCTTTGTTGATGTGTGTCGGTAAATATTATTTGGTTATCACTTTTATGAATAATAATAAAACAAAACAATATTAACCTTAATACCTGTCTTATTTTATGTTCATTTATACTCAGAGGTCACACACCAATTTTTACGGCCTCTATATTGGCTTGACCTGTATGTATGTACGGCATTTGCTAGCACTGTAGGTATGTGTGTATAGAAAATAGAATTTTATAGGTATTAACTCAGTTTTCATACACTTCCAGATGTCTGAATTTTCTGAAATGTTGCATAAGTATTAAGAAATGATAATAATACAATAATTTCAATACTATGAACTATAATACTTTTCTCACTGTGAGTTTATCTTCAACATCACAACATGATCAATGTGTGCTGATTTAGATTTGTCACTAATATTATTAATATAAAAAGATAACAGAAAACTTATTGTAACTAAAGGTGAATTATTTATTTTGTAATCGTCAGTCTAAAAGTAGTAAAAAGTATAAATAGTTACGTAGAATAAGATTATTATATTTTTATATTTTAACTACTACTAGCGTCATCTGTTCACAGAATAAGGTAGTTACAGTAGACGGCGTCAAAGTAAAGCTTCAAATTTGGGACACGGCTGGCCAAGAGCGCTTCCGTAGCGTCACTCACGCTTACTACAGGGATGCACATGGTAATAATATTACATTCCTTTAATACAATAAGAAATTATCATTATGTTTTTTTTTAAATATTTTCACATTTTTAATACTTTTTAGAACCGGATTTAAATCATCAAAAATCAAATGCTTTACAAGCGTTTTAAACATATTTTTGCGCCATCTATGAGCGATATAAAGCACATTTTCTTCTAGTTGAAATCTTAAGGAGAACAATCTCTCATAGGAGAATAGTTGAAAAAGTGTAAGCAATAAATAACAGTTTAAAAACTCTCCACAACAGCGCTGGAGTAGCTACAAGAAACAGCTACATGAAATGAACTTAGCAGTTGTCGACGGTGCGGTGTGAAGTGTGCTGCTAAACTGCTCAGTAGCTCTAAAATCTAAAATAATTTTATTTCGTAAATATAACCTCGAAAAAGTCGTCTATCCCACTAATACTTTTCGGCGCGTTCTTTAAAATTTACCCCGTAGCTATAGAGGCGCTACCCTTGTTTAACGGTTTTCTACGGACACTTCTTAATCCACAGTCTGTACTCCTTACGTCTACACTCCATACTAATTATTAGTTTGTGCTTATGGGGATATTAGTAAGTCAGCTCAAATTCTAATTTCGCCCCCACTTCCCCGCGCGTCGTATGCTATGTACCGACATGTTTGTAATCATTAATACTGTAAGTAGATAGGTCGTTAGATACTTATTTCATTAGGTTTATCATATTTACGCGTGTTTCTTAACGCCAACCCAGTCGCTTCTTATTTTTATCTTTTTATATTTATGTTATTATCTTTATATATTTATGTTATTTCCCATTTTAATTTTACGTCGTCCTGTTGCGTAATGTGTATTCTGATCGTAAGCGACACAACTTCTCCCTTCAAAAGCCTAAGCGATACTAACGGGAGGGGGCGACAGGAATTCAGGAATCAAGCTTCAAGACGCCGATAGTTTAGGTAATTTCTTTTTACAGTGAAAATAATGGTATTTAAAAAAAAAGTAAATAACATAAGCACTGCTTTATAGTTAGTTCAGTTAGTATGCAAAGTTTCATGTTATTTAAAGTATGTATTTTATGAATAATAGTTCAGTTTGGAGGTAACTTTGGATTTTTTTTCTATCGAGAAAATTTACGGAATCGTGTTTTCATCTAACATAGTCCTTAACATTAATCCTCAACTTTACCATATAATTATTTCAAAATTAATGCTGCAATACTTTCGGCATAACGGAGGATCTTGCTAAGCCATTTGAGGTTATATTTCCCCTTAAAATCAAACTTTTCACAGATTAAAAAGGTTTAATGCCGACTAATACAATAACTTCTTTTTAAAAATTTAGTACTATTTCTCAGACTTAAAATATCAATAATAATTAACAAAAAAAATTAATACTTATACTCACAAACTAATAAGAAGTTGCTTATACTGTACTCTGTCCCATAAACTTAGGATAATATTAGAGTACCTATATATTCTAATTCAATGTTCTGTCCATGGAAAAAGAGTCAGTCAAGCAGGCGTTTGTTAATATCTACTAATTTATTATTAGCGACGTGTGCCTACCTCTGTTTGAATTGGAATTTAATAGGTACGTAAAATTGTGGTGCGATTTTATATGTCTGCTCATGTGTGGAATTAGTTGAAAGTTGAAACAAAAATACAATTGTGACAAAAACTCAGTGTCTTGCTACTATTTTACGCACGTAGGTAATTAACTATCTGCTGGGTATGGCCGGCCACATACATTCGGAATTACAATTCGGGATTCCGTTTCGGAAAAGGCTCAGTTGAGAGACGCTAGCCATTACGTCTAGATATTCTGCCAGCGAATAATGACGCGATTTTCTGATTGTGATTCTAGTATTGCGGTATCATTGTTACTGGGTGCATACAATTATCACTTTAAAGACTAGGCCACACTATGCTCCTCACGTGGCTTATCGCTCTGCTCCAAGACTGCTTTACTGGCACAACTAATCGCGATGCTCCGCACTTGGTTGCTCGCATTTACAACACAATGGATGTTGAAACTGTGGCCACAGCTGTGGCAGCGCGCACCCTATGCATATTTAGTACATATATTATATCGATGTCATAAAAAGAAATACACGTTGTCGTCGTCGTATAGCTTTTTCTCGGTATATTCTTTACTCATGTGATAATATGGCTGAATGATGAAGATAGGTGTACTATTTATGATTTTTAAATGACATGTGACGCGCTTCCGTAACGAGCGCTCAATTCGGACTGGACCATAGATTACTGTATATATACTAGAGAGACCGGACTACGTTTGCGCGAGTATGTGGCCAGCCACTAAAACGGGCTACACACGAGACGATATCGGTGGCGATCTAGGGTGGAAAGAAATCGGGGCTTTTATCGGGGCAGACCCTACACACGGGCCTGCCTAGCAGTACGCGTTCGGACTTGGAGCGGAACACATATGCGGTAGAGTTCTTCAAAATAGCTTCAACTCTCTTAAAACACCAATGTATTGGTTTGGCATTAGCCCTCTCGGTAAATTTATTCGAAAATAGAAAAAGAGGAGTTGCTGGGTGAAAAATGGCTCCAAAAGAGACAAAAATTAAGCCACATAAACGTACTAAATTGTTACGTACGTAATTGTATTCTAAAGACATGATTAATTTTCTCCGGATGGATGAAGACAGTTTTTATAACCTTCTAGAAATGATTTCGCCACTTATATAAAAACATCAATTTCTCCTATGTACCTATGCTATTTAGTTATTTCTTCTCTTTGTTCATTTCTGCTTTAGTCAAAATCTGGTTATGTATTACACACTACAAACAAGGAAATAAAATACTTTTGTATAATAATATGTATACTTTTTTTTAATGTAATCTTTATTTATGGAGTAAAACTATCAGAAAATAAAATAGCTTATATCTTTTTTTTAAACATAAAGAAACCTTTAATTTCGGACATACTCCCTTTTATATAACTTGTTTGTTGATGTGGAGATGGTGAAGGAGTAGAAGTTTGTTTATAAGAGGATGAAGGCACGTAAGAGATCGAATTGTGGTCTTGTGGAGTTGTAAGAGATATGAGTGCGGTCTTGTGTTGATAGTGTTGGAATAGGAGTTAGTTGTTGAGGAGAGGCTTTAACTTCTCCTTACTTACATCATACACTCTACTTTACGAACGGCAATAAAAAATTAGTTTAGTAGGCTTTCTTGACCATGTCACTTCGCAGGGTCACAGGCTAGGGTGGATATGATTTGAATTTCGATAAAATTTCATTTAATTTATTTATTTTATTCACTTTTTTTTGGTTTTTTGTAAAATATCAGTGCCATAGGCTTCTGCTCCGTTTATATGATTAAAATGTAAAAATTTTGTTACATAAAAAAGGTCATTCAGTATCACTGTTTTGTTAACTTCCTTCCGCGAGGGTTGCCGGCAGCGACTGCCAAAAGAAATCGGGCCGATGCGCCTACACACACGCAGTAAGGAGGGGGCGGTGCCCCGATCTAGGAAGCATCGGCTGATCTAGGAAGCATTTTTGCTCCTGCCAGCCGATTAAGGAGGCGATATCGGCTACGACTTAGGATGGCTCTACATACGACACGATTTAGAGGCAATCTAGGAGGCATCCCCACTACTCCACCCTAGATCGCCACCGATATCGTGTCGTATGTAGCCCGCTTTACGCTCATTTTGCCAGTCCTTTGACTCGCGCCCAAAAAATTGACAGAACAGTGAGCAGTTGGCATGCCGAGGAGCATAACGTGCGGCATGACGTGCGGTATGACGAGTATTGTGGCCACACTAGGTCTCTGCCTCCTTTCCTCGCTACTTCCCATGCCACTCGACTAGTGTGTGGCCAGTCAATATTATTTAAAAAGATCTATCTATCCAGAGATTTTTTTTAAATATGGATGTCTGTAAATTCTTTCGTCGAATTATTAAACAAATTAAGATGAAAGGTTAAGAAAAGAGATACACATATAAGATTACATGTAAAACATACATTAACACACCGACTTGTATATACATACTTGGAACTTATATCACAGAATAAATAATAGCACTACGTAAATAGTACTACCACAGAATAAATGATAGTACCTTATATAAACTTGGAACTCGCTTCGGTCTTGCGTCGCACAGTTTCAAGTACATAAAAAGTACTCTGTGCACTGACCGGTGAGCCGGTGACCGCGTTCCGTAAGAAATATACGAATGTGTGTTGCGACTCAACTCATACAAAAACAAAATCTATGGAAGACTTACGTTCGGAACGGCGTTTTGCCGTGCGAGATTCCGAACGTGCAGGCAGTCATGCGAAATTAGGTACTACTGTACGTGTGTGACGGGTTCTTGATTTTATTTGGATTTGCTCGAAGTTCGAAATCCCGATTCGGAATTTCGAAACGGAATTCCGAATGTATGTAGCCGACCTTAGGCTGATAAACTCAAATAATAAAAATTCCTATTCTTTGACTGACGCAGTACCTTAATAACTGATCTCACCAGTCTATCATAGGTATACCTACACTTTATTCAAAGAAATAAAATACTGAAAACAGATGGTTGATCAATTACTTACTTTAATTTTTTTATTTAGTTTTTGTATATTTAAAAGCCTTTTTTTTTAACTAGATATATTAAGACTAAAGAGATATTTTTTATTAAAAATATAAACAAGCGGTCAACAGAAGTCAGTAGAAGACTGCTTGGTAATGTGACCTCCATTTGTTGTCATGCAGCTTGTAACGTGATCAGCTCGGAAGGTAGTGAATATAACAAACCGGATCACGTCCACACAAAACACTGGAAGTTTAATTTGGCTACAAAATTTCTCATCGATCGATCGATGTATCTCATCGTTATAGGTACACCATAATATGCATATCACACGCTTTTTGCGTATCATGATCATGATTCAGGTGTGTAGGTATTTAAAGTAAAAATAAAGTGAAATTACAGTTCATATGCCTACGTTCTGCTACTAGACACAGGGTTCTCGCTGTCCCATTTTTTTATAGG